GAAGAACCCGTCCAGAAGACCTATACAATTATTTTTCTTTTTAATTTTTTTTACCTGGATTACTGAGATGCATCTATTCTGTAAGCATAAAGCTGGCCTGGTCCCTTCACCTGATCACTGATAGTTTATTATGTCAGCAGGATCACGTCAGTGTAAATGCCTGCTGAGCTACAGTCGGGTCAGCCATCTCCTTAGATGATGAACTTTGTGAACTTCATTGATGACCAGCTGAGTGGACCAGGCCGTCTGCATGGTTACCGAATGAGACACAAGGCGAACCATAACTCATTATCTCAAGAAAACCATCGAGAAATGAACTTGTTTTCTTGAGAAAATGCTCATTGTCATTTTATGATAACAACATATGTCCTTATTGACATTAATATGTCGTTATCACGAGAAAAACATGGAAAAACATGGAAAATGCCTGCTGTTGGCTTCAGTAAGTCAGTCCATGTAATCTGATCAACTTGCTTTTAAGCTAACAAAGTAGTGTTYTGTACTTTAAAGATATCACCAATTAATCACAAACAGATAAAAACTTATGTGCTTATTTCAATCCAGCAGAGACACTGAAGCTTTAGAACATGGTAGAATTTAGAGTTTGGTTATGTTGATTAAATGTTTAAATGCCTACATTATTTAACAGTGATCCTATTTACAGCGCTCTTATTAAATCAGCAAATTATTAACAGATTTAACAAACTTATGTTTGGCTAAAGTGACTAAAACACATGCTGTGGTTGATTTTCTTTTTTTTTTTTCTTAAGCCTTTGTGTTACGTCACAAACGTGCTTTTGCAAAACAAATCAAACTGTATTTTCTCAACAAATACATAGAATGAAGAMTTTACTTTGTAGTATGACGACTGTTACAGTACATTAATCTTATTAGGAGGATTATAATTTGGTTATTCTAGAATATCTTTGCTTTTTGTTTGCTTTCAGATTTCTTTGTTCCGATGTAAAAATCTTTTGCTTTATTTATTTGTGCACATCYTTCAATAAGAGTAGCTGCTTTTGTTTCCACATTTTTATGTAAACGTGTAACCACCTGTGTTTTAAGTTTTCAAATAAAATGTATTAAAACAATAATGATC